CCCGGCCTGCCCCGTCCCGTCCCGGGGCCCGCCCCGCCCTTGGCCTTGGCCTCGGGGATGGAGGCATCAAAGGTGTGAGGCGGCAGCGGGCCCCAGCCGAAGCTCCCCCGGGCTGGATGCCTGCGGTCAGGAACCCCCGCCAGGAGCGTGGGTCGTGGAGCAGCGGCTACAAGGTGCTCACCTGGCTCTTACTCCTCACCAAAAGGGGGGTAAAAACCACCTCTCGTGGAGGACTTTGCAGCCAGGGCCAGTATTAACGCCAACAGCCGACGCTGGCGCAGTCCGGCCGCCTTCCTTTCTGAACCTCGGCTTGCTTTCTTTCGAAGCCTGTGCCTCAGCGTCGTGGTCTGGCGGCTGTGGGATGGATTGGCTCTGCCGTTCGAGTGCAGCACGGACTCCTCGACATCAAACACAAGAACCCGAAGGTCAAGGAGCCAGGTTTTCTGGCGTCTCCTCCAGAAAAAACTATGAGCACCGTAGCCCAGCTAGGCTAGGTACGCCTCTGGGTGGCTCTGTAACACTACAGGCACTGCTTAGAGAAGTACAGCAGCTTTGAACAGCAGCACTTAAGAGAACCAAGGTTAAAAGAGGGAAATGAACCAGTATTAAAGAGCACGTAGATATTTTATACGCCTAGGAGCTTGTCTGCTTGTGGTCCTACAGGTGATCTACTGCTTATCTTTAGAGTCACTGTTTCAGGCTGGGAAGCAGGCATACTGTCCTCCATCTAGCTGCATAAGGATTAAAAAGTAAAAAAAAAAGAAAAAGAGAAAGGGAAGTCACTACTAGCAGGAAGAAAGCAGCAGCGTCATGGAGCTCCTCTAACACTGAGCCCCATTAAGACTTGTCATCTTAATACATCCCATTTAAAAACCTATCTTTAAATCAATAAAGCACGCACAGAGAACATCCCCCCACCCAAAGGCAGCAGGTAAATCTGTAGGGACTGAGCAAAGAAAAAACCTGCAAATACTCGATATCAATCCAACCGGACCAGCTCCGAGCCGAGCTCTTGCTCGGTTTGCTGGCTGCCCCGTGAGCGCGGCGGCCACGCAGCTGCCGCTGAGTGTTTTTGCTGTGAGATAAGGGGATGCAGCTGCTGCTGGAGCCTCATCAAGGATCTCAGGGCTTATCAAGGATCTCAGGGCTCTCGCAGAACTAAACGCCAACTGCTGTGTCGGCGGCTGAGCTGGCGTCCGGGGTCACCGCCTCGGAACCCGACCCGCAGGCTAGTTTGGCCCTCCCAGGTGAGCCATCCCCTTGGCTCGGGGAGGATTAGTTACACGAATAGCTGATTCCAGGACCCAGCTCCTTTTTCCCGCC